TTGAGCACGGGCTCCATCGCCGCCCCCGGGGGCCGCGCTCGCCCGACCGGGCCCCGCACCCCGGTGCGGCCTGGGACCGCCGGTTCGTCCGTTAGGCCTTGGGGCGGCCGGGCCTCTGACCCCGCTGGGGGAAGAGGGGTCCCCCCGCGGCGGGGCCTGCCCTGTGCGGGCTTGTGGCGCGGCTGCCTCCCGAGCTCCGCTCTGACGGCCCTCGGATGCGAGGAAGTGTGGGAGGAAAGGCCGAGGTGCAGATGGGAGGCGATTTTGCAGTGAAATGCGCTTTGGTGTGCACATTCAAGACAAATAAACAAATCTGCCCTTTTTTAAGAGAGAAATTTTTAATCAGTGACACGAAGGGTATTAAGTGTGCTCAAAGCAAAAAGAAGTTATGCTTTGTTTTTAGGCTGGTATTTGATTTTTTTTTTAATCATTGAGTTTTTCTTTTCTGTTCTTAGAACTGTGCTGTATTTTCTGCAGACTATTAAGCAGTAACCTACCTATGATATATTTCTTTTCAGCTTTTTCTCCCATTAATTAGAATAAACCTGCTTTTTGGGGGTTCCTTGACAATTTTGAAAACCAGTTTAACTTTCCAGGATTCATTCACATGTTCAGCCCATTTACTTTGTGTTCCAGCAATTGGGATGCTTTTAAAACATGAGGGCATACATAACCCTTCACTTAATTAAATTTTGTGTTAACATACTAGCCTGAGAAAAATAATTATGAGTTAAATCTACACTTATTCTGTCTAATGCAAGAGTTAAAAAGGTTACAAATCAAGTAGTTGTAATTGACAGCAGAATTACTGGGACTGAAAACACTGAATTAGAAATCTAGTATTCTTTTAAACTGGCCTGTGAAAGGTGATTGTTTATAAAAACAAAAGCAATGTGGCCCTGGAACAGGGCTATATAAAGTGTTCTGGTCCAGTTTTAGTCTGGGTTAAGGAGAAACCAAAGTTCTTGTGGAAATTACAAAAGTGCAGCAGAGTAGCAGTTTGGACTCACCTTATCAAGAAAGCTTCTATTAATAATTCTTCCAGATTTTCACACTTCTCTATTTTGTCTCTGCCTTGAAATTCCTGTGCTGCTGTGCTCTGTGTCTTGTTTGGTTACTCTTGCTGCTTGCCATGCATTATAAACAGGCTAAGAGAAATTTAATTCCTTTCCATTTCACTTCTGGATTGTGAAAGAATTAAAAAGTATAGAACATTAAATTCCTGAGCGATCTGACTAGTAGTGCGTTTATTGCTAATGTGTTAGCCACACAATGGACTGCAGATATTAATCAAGAGTTTTAAACAGATTTAATCCTGGTAAGTGCCACTGCTACAACCAGTCTAGGATTCCTGTGCTCCAGAATAGCAAATGGGAGTGTTAATAGTTTGTTTGCTTTCAGCATCTGACAGAATCATGGCGTGTTACATTGCTAATTTAAGGTGCTTTCTGATCAATGAAGTGGTTAAATTACCTTAGAATTTGAGCTTTTTCTTATTTTATTTTGGTTCCTTAGCAGCTTATGTTATTGCTGGTACTCCACCCCTTGTTCCGTGCATAGGGAATTGTATTAAATTCCCGTGTTTTCCATCGGTCAGGTTGGTTTCCTGAATAAACTTCACTTCATGAGTCAACTGTGGGTTTGTTTTGAATCATTAACAGGTCATCAGTATTGGGATGCAGTCCTGCACATACTCTTATTCATGTGTGGTTCTGTTTACTTCTGTGCAAGTAAATTTTCCAGAACTGGACTTTCAAGCCTTTCAGTTCCAAATGAATTAACCTATAGTTTCTGTTCATGAAAGTGGAACGAGTTGGTGAACTTTAACAGAGCATGATCAATAAAATAGTATTCTTTGTACTCTTGCTGGCTCCATGTTGGCTGATTTGCTTCAGAGAAATTTACTCAAATGTTTCATAGATGTCACTGTAAAGAAATATGACTTTTTTTTTTGTTCTTGGACAAAGAGTTTATTCCTTCTAAGGAGTTTGTGAATTCCTGCATAAGTCATTTTCATAGCAATTTGATACTATTGTACTTTTAAATTTGGAAGTAGTATGCCGGGGAGATTATATGATTAAGGTGTCACTGTAGAGCTCAGGAGCCTGCTTACCCCTAAAGCTTCCAACAGCAGATGAAGACAATAGTGCTAAAATTGAAAGGCACCTGGAAATGCGTATTTGCTTACGGAATGGTATGACTGGTGTTGCTATGCTCTGTCCAGTGCAAAAATGTGGGAAATTAATACTTGAAGATAGTTCAATGTCATGCAGACTAAAAATCTTATTTCCTATGCTTTAGGGAACAAGCGCAGAACAGGACAATCGCTTCAGCAACAAGCAGAAGAAGCTGTTGAAGCAGTTGAAATTCGCAGAATGCTTAGAAAAGAAGGTAAGCTGATAAGGATGAGATAGGAAGTAAACCACAGGAATCAAAGACAATTTTCAGTGAGCGTAATTGTTATCAGGTGGTACATACAGGAATGTGAGGGATGTCTTCT